AGGTTGCAAAATAGCCGTTGGTGGCTACTGTTACTCTCAATGACTATATTTAACCCAAAAATTCTATAAAAATACAGAGAGAGGAAAAGGGAATAAGGTTTGCTTGAAAATCGATTTATGTACTGCTCCNGAGAGAGGAAAAGGGAATGAGGTTTGCCTGAAAATCGATTTATGTACTGCTCCCAAAAAATCGCTTCCCTGAACCCTTGCCTTTGATATCGAAAATCCTAGCTTCCCAAAATCCTTGTCGTTGGTATACTACTCCCTGAACCCTTCGNAAGTTGGGCATGCGCCACATCTATTTGTCAACTTAAGAGGGAGTGTTGCAAAATCACGTGGAATCACACGTGGATTGTATGGCCTGATTTCTCTCCATTATTAGCTATACAAGATAGACTAGGACTCTTGTAATTATTATATGTAATATGTGTTTTCCTTTCTTAGTCCTAAACTTTAGGGTACTTCACATAGCTCAATATCCATTAGAGCATCTCCAACAAGAGTTGCCATCAGGGGTGGCATCCCCATTATCGCTAAAATGACACCTTAACTTTAAAAATTCGGACTCAAATGAGGGTGGCATTAGAGATGGCAAAATGACATTTAGGGTTTTGGGGTGACATATTTGAAAATTTTGGAGAGAGAATTGAAAGGTTGCAAAATAGCCGTTGGTGGCTACTGTTACTCTCAATGACTATATTTAACCCAAAAATTCTATAAAAATACAGAGAGAGGAAAAGGGAATAAGGTTTGCTTGAAAATCGATTTATGTACTGCTCCCAAAAAATCGCTTCCCTGAACCCTTGCCTTTGATATCGAAAATCCTAGCTTCCCTAAATCCTTGTCGTTGGTGTACTACTCCCTGAACCCTTTGGTGTACTGCTCTCTATCAATCCGTTGGTGTAATACTCGAATAGCCTCGTTGCTGTTGTAAGTTGCAGAGGAGCGCAAGGGGAAGGGAAGGAAGGGGAAGAAGACGATCTGGGGAAAGAGAAGGGGTAGGAAGTGTTTTATTTAGGGGAAGAGGAAAGCGTTGTAATTTATAATTACATCTGTCCTCTGTTCTTGTTTCAATTTATAATTTATAATTTTTTTATAATTTATGGCAGATTTATTTGTTATAATTAAGGGTAATTTTATTTATTTTTTAATTGATTATTTTATGCTCATTCTTTAACTTGATTATAATTTTATAATTTTTTTTTTTGTAGATGGATTCGCAATTTGACGATTCTTTCACTGATTTGCTTAAAAACAACACCGATTTATATGATGATGCTATGTAGACCAATCCCACAGTGTTGGCACCAGTACAAAATGAAGTCATTCCAAGAGTGAAAAAATCACAAAAGACAAAGAATTTCTCTCTAGAAAAAGATAAATTAATTGTGTCTGCGTGGCTTAACACAAGTAAAAATGCAATTATCGGGAATAAACAACAAGGTGGTGCTTTCTGACAAAGAATATTGAATTACTTAGAACTTCATAGAGGCAATCAAGAAGAGTGTTCTCAATCTTCTATTAAAATTCGTTAGACTGATATAAATGCAAAATGCGGTAAATTTGTCGATTTTTATAGTCAAATCAAAAGACTGCGACAAAGTTGACACACCGAGCAAAATAATGTAATGATTAAGCTTTTAATTTAAACATTACTATGATTTAATATTTAACTTATTGATTGAATAATTTCATATGTTTTTCAGGTTGATGACACAAAAGAAATGTTTGTTAAGATTATTGAAAGACCATTGCAATACCTGCACTGTTTAAATATATTGAAAATTGAGCAAAAATGGACTGATAATCTCAACAACAATAAAAGAGCAAAATCTTATTCAACTAGTAGTCATGCTGAATCAACTCATGTTAAATCTTGCTATTAAACTTCATATTTAGGGAATAACACTGAACTCTCGTTCATTCCCAACCTCGATAGGTCATTAGGCGAAAAGGTTTCGAAGAAACAACTTAAAAATAAAGAGAACCAAATCAGTGTTGAAACATCACTAGATCTTCACCACTGAAATCAAAGAATGAAAGTGGAACGACAAAAAATTGAGCGACACGACAAAATTTATGCTCAACAGGAGATAACATTGGAGCAACATCGTAGACAGTTAAAAATTGAAAAAAGACAGGTGCAAGAAATTGAAAGGCAGAATGAAATAAAAAATGAAATGAAAATCATAGAAACTGACACTACTAGCATGGACCCAATTTCCACAACATATTGGAATAACTTGAGGATAGAGATTATGAAAAAGCGAGGTTTTAATTTTTAGTCATTATTTATTATGTTGCTATTATTTTTTAATTTGTAGTCATTACGTTGTAAGTTGCTATTATTTTTTAATTTGTAGTAATTATTTCTTATGCTGCTATTATTTTTTAAGTTTTAATCATTATTTATTATGTNTTTAATTTTTAGTCATTATTTATTATGTTGCTATTATTTATGAAAAACTATGTATTGAAAATGCAACTTGAAATTGAAATTGGAATTGGAATTATAATTGAAAATACAACTTGAATTTGAAATTGAGAAAATTATTAGTCGGCATGTCGTTCCCACAAATGCTCAATAGGATCTGACTGTAGTTGTGAATGACTTACACTGTCCCTAATCTAACAATGGGTTCGCATAAAGTTTTTCAATTTTGGTGTATACGCATACGACACTTCTACAAGCGAATTTGCATCACTTTCATCAAAGTCATTGTTACCAATATCTCCTTCATCCTCAATGATCATATTATGTATTATTATATACGTTTTTCATAATATCTGCAAGTGTTTCTTCATCCCAAAAGCGTGTTGGTCCACACACGATTGCAAAATAGGCTTGAAGTATCCCAAATGCCCACTCTACATCTTTTATTGCCGACTCTTGTGCTTTAGAAAAAATATTTTTTATTCAAACCTTGTGGACAGGGAATTGTTTTTACAAATGTCGACCAATTTGGATAAATACCATTAGCTAGATAATATCTCATTGTATACTCATGACCATTAATTATATAGTTGACTAGAAGAACATGACCATTTGCTAATAGTGCAAAAACATGAGATCTATCTAAAACATTTATGTCATTTAGCGAACCAGGAAGCCCAAAGAATACATATCATATCCAAAGATCTTGAGAAGTTACAACTTCCAAAATGATTGCTGGTTTCTAACAATGACCAGTATGCATACCTTGTCACACGGTAAGATAATTTTTTCACTTTTCCAATGCATACAATCAATACTCCCTAACATGCCAGGAAAGCCACATTGTTCCTTTGTCTGTAGCAATCGAGCAATATCGATATTGTTTGGTAACCTCAGGTAATGGTCGCCAAACAGTGCAATAATCGCTTTCACAAACCTTCTCAAACTCTGTATGACAGTACTTTCTCTAATTCTGATGTATTCATCCACAGATTCTACCGATGTTCCTCAAATAAGAATTCTATAAGCAGTTGTTATCTTTTAAAATAATGACAAACCGAGAACTCCAACAACATCTGTTGTTTGGATGAAGTATGGATTGTGTTATTTAATCTCATTTATAATTCGGAGAAATAGAGGACGACTCATTCAGAACCTCCTTCGAAAAAAATCTTTATATACATAAAGAATAGCAAAATAGTCACAGTAGAGTCTTTTGTGTCCTTCGACTCTACCACGATTAACTATTACATTGCCTGGAACGAAATCACGATGTCTTCTTATTCGTCCCTGACTAGACCATTCTGACCTTCTGCTTACATCATATAACATATTCAAGTCATCATTATCTTCTTCTTCAATATTGAGGATCTCTCCTAAAATATTAAGATAACGATTCATATAGCTTGATGAATGAAAAATGAAAGGATAAATAGTTAAAGAAAATGAGATATTGAATTTATAGAAAGAATGTAATATAGATGGATGAAAACATAAGAAAAATGATCATATTTATAGATAAATTATACTTTTTTGAATTTTTATTTTGGCGGTTAATTTTTCAAATTTGAATTTCAACGGTTGAATTTTGAAATTTGAATTTCGAAGGACAAAATTTGAAATTTAAATTTTGAATTTGAAATTTGAAATTTTTACTATAAAAATATATTCGTTAAATTGTGATCGTTATGAAACTATACCTATTAAAATATAACCGTTAAATTTAATTAGGTTTTTTAATAAAAAAATATTAAAATGACACTCCATATTAACACCTACCATTAAAATAGATTTATAATTCAAGAATGTCAAAATACTATTCAAGATTACAAAATAACATTTGACACTCTAAAAATGACAACTCCCCGAAAATGACTACTCCCCTTCGAGTTGCTCTTACCCCACTGGCCAAATTGGTGACTCCCAGCTGGATTCTCCTTCACTGCTCTATGGGATTTAATTTGTGTATCTAATATGTGACACATTTGATTAGTTATAAATTTTAATATTAGGTGAAACTCATTTTTAATTAAATAGTTACATTAAATTAGATATACAAATTAGACACAAATAACATTTTTCATAACTTAAAAGTATTATAAACTAGACGGAATTTAAATGATTTAAGATTTTTATTCGAAAACCCAACTCAACAAATGAAGAACTCTGTTCAAGTGTATTAAATGAATAATGTTATTGAGACCTAATTTATTAATTAATGTCCTTAAATTGATAGTAGACTCAATCAAATATTAAAACTTGATTTTAATCCATTTGTTACAATAAAATTATAAAATTTATAATTATAATTATAATATAAAACAGAGCGGACTTCAACAAACTGATCATACGGTATTCGTTCATTCAAAGGTTTTAACATCCAAAAATTTACAATACATCTCATTCAAATTTAAAAGTGCATATATCTTAATCCAACCCAACCTAACTATCACGTCCAACCCAATTTAACCAAACTCAACCATCACATTCAACCCAGCCCAACCCAATATCTATCTCCCAGATCGGCTCTTCCCCCATATCTCCTCACTCTCATGTCCTCTCTCCCATCTCAGTCTCTTCACTGTCAGAGAGCAGCGGCGAGAGGCAGCAGTCCCTTCCCCAAAATTCATGGCATGGTCACTCCCCCCTCCCTTCCTCTCTCTTCCCCATCCCCTGCCCCTCTCTCTCTTCTCATTCTTCGATGGGATCATAAGAGAGAGCACCCAATCGAAACTCTTGGGAATCCAGACGCATCATTCCGAGAAATCTGTCGGAGTTTCACTCACGATCCACCTCTTCCTGGTACGTCTCCTTCTAAATTTTGCAACTTTTAGCCATTGATGAAACTTATGTTTTAGAATTGTAGCTGCTAAATTACATCTGTATATGCATCGATACATATTTTTAACTGTGTATATGTGTGTGCTTTTTAACCGAAAGTGCTTGGACAGTTAGTGGGAGAGGTGAAATTAATTAGTACTTTAGGTTTTGAATTAGCCCTGGAATTATTTTGAATCTCACTTGTCTTTTTACGTGTATGAATTTACTGAATTTTGATACTAGAGTTTAAGCATCTTTGAACCGCCATCAATGATTCACGTAATGCCTTCTTTTCCTCCTACAAACATCACCCCCGAGCAGATTCCCTATGAACAATAGTTTTTTGCTTTAATTCAGAGCCTTTTCTCATTTTTTTTCGCTTCAAATGCATATTTTCTGTTCATTCAGTTGCTTTATGTTTGATTGGGAATTTTTCTTCTCTCCTCAGTCTAATTTTGTTTTTCAATAACTGGATATAAAGTTTGATTCTTCTATCCAAGTGAAAGTGCCCTCTTAGCAATACGGCCAATAATCATGCCAACTCTGCCAAACAAATTCAATATAATTTGATGATTTACACACTTGTGTCGAACTTTTCTATGCACGCACACTATATTTAAACGTGAAAGAAAACATAAAGTTAGAGTTTAGAAGGATTTCAGATGATATTGGATTTGGTTGTTTAATGATCTCTTAAACTATTTACATTTGTACTTTGGAGGATATGATGGGCATTATTAGACCAGCTTCCTTTCCTGCAAATACTAGATCATTTGTGTCTCTATTACAATACGTCAAAACCCAATAGTTCGAATGAAGAAAAAAAGATCGTCACCTTGTTGCCTTCAACCTTCATCATTGTCATTGCTTTGTGATGGTAGATCGTCAGTTGCGTAGTTGTTTCGATACAGACTTAAACTTAGACTTAGACTTACTACTTTTGTCTTACGAAATACAGCAACCTTGTTCATTAGCAAAGGACCAACCTTGTCTATTATTTTGGTGTCACTGAGTTGCTATAAAATATGAATATCTTAATTTCTAAAGGTGTAGAATTTTTGGTTCATGACTTTTTGGTATAAGTTAATGGATAAAGCCATTATAAAATTGTTGTTTCAAGTTTATTGTGTGTTATGTTGTTTTATGTTTTTATGATTTGTGAAAGAGGTGATATCATTTGACTTCAATGAGCTGTGTCTACACCCGCGATGTGATTTTACTTGAGATGGTGACTGGCTGAAGATACATGGGCAAATATTCGATAATTTTATGTGATGCTTGGTTTATGTGATGATTGTTTGCTGCTAATAACTATGGGTTTGGAGTTATATCTTAGCATTAATTTTTCTGTTTTTATTGGAAAAAAGAGGTTTAGGGCATTTAGATTTAGTTTTTTTTTTCTTTTTTTTGCCATTTTATGTTGGGATTTTCATGTTTCATACTGATAATTATTTGTTTGTAATTGGGTGAGTGTACGAAGTGATTTTAGATTTAGCATTGGTTTGTAAGGTTGTACTCTGCATCATTTCACCAGTAATAGTTGTTTCTTATTTGCTTTATTGATATCTTTCTTCATTTGTAATGGTAGCCACTGTCTTTGAGGGGCTATGGAGGTTGTGCCAGTGGCACCACAGACGAGGGCAATGTGGTGTAGAGATATGGAGTGGCTCTTATGTGTGAGTGATTCCATGGTAGAGCTTGTGCCTTCCATGCAACAATTCCCCCGTGTAGGCACATATTCATTGAAGCCGTCTTATATTATAGATTATAGATCTCCTTGCACTCAAAAAGCTTGATGCTATGTTAATTAGTCCTCATAATGACATGGGGTATAATTGTCCCTGATGCGAAAAATTGTGATTAGTATCCATTGGGTATGTCAGGTGGAAGGCCTTCAATTAGAGGCAGGAAGAGAAGTGGTGGCTCCCAAATCCAAAAGTTCCTCCAAAAGGGTTGTCAGTGGATGCAAGGAAGAGGTTGCAGCAATGCAGGGACTGTACCAACCAGATACTGAAGGCAGCCTTAGCAATCAATAGCAATGTGCTTGCTGAGATGGAGATTCCCAATGCTTACTTAGAAACTTTGCCCAAGGTATGGGTTTCAATGTTGGGTTTACAAATGCTATGAGATATAAACAAGCTGAGATCTAAATTTCCTGATACATATCCATAGATACTACAACTGGTTTGGTTTTTTTGGATCTGATTGATATCATTAGGTTGACAATGTGTTTTTAATGGTATTTACTTTTCTTATCATTTATTACTGTAGAAAAGTTTTGTTAAATTTAAACCTTGTGGAATGTTGGCAGCTTGCTTGTGATGATTTTCTGGAGTTATGACTGCTTGTACTCATGGCGTTTGAGTTCAATATATACTTCCACCACTCTCATATGACATATCCTATTTTCCCTTTTAGACATACAGTTCATATATTTTGGTGTCTAATAGACCACAATAAAGCATTTTCCGATTTGTGAGTTGAGTTTGGGTATGATAATGTCAACTACACTTTTAATTGATGGCATTTTACAACACAATCTTGCAAGCCAAATGGCACTTCCACTGCTATTGTAATGTGTAATGTCTTATAGAAGTCAAAAAGCAATGTATTTTCGGTTTGGGTTATGCAATTTGGAGGTGCATTTTGTCTTATGGAAGTCCATAAGCAAAGTAATTGTTTTTTACTTTTGAGGGAACAACCATTTCATGCCTTTTGTTTTGGATTGCCAACAGAAACCACTTCATACCTTTTCATGTGCTATCATTAACCCAATGTGACATTTATATTGTTTGAGTTAGGAAGACACCAGTGCGGGGTATTGGTTATAAAAACTTAAAATTGTCACTTTAGCCTAGGATGCCACATCTTCCTTTTGTTTTAGATATTCTTTATTGGATTTTTTATCCATTGCATGTGCACATATACATGTTCATTGCAATTTCGACTTTTTGTTTATTTTTGCTTTGAATATCTAAAAGTTTTAATTAATTTTATTCATAAAGTTTTATTGTGGTTATGTTTGACTCATCATTTTCTAATTCATCGGAAGCCCAAGAGAGTATGTTTTTCTATCCTAGGTTCAAATATTTCATCCCTAAAATTGGTAGAATTTTTAAATGGTCGCAATTGAGCTAGCAGCATTAAGTTGAATGAAACATGCTTTGAATAACTTTTTTTACTGCCCTAATTTTTTAAGTGTTGAGTCGTTTAGTGGGAGGCATCAATGGATAGTTCTACTCTAACTTATTATATAGGTGGATACCAAGGTAATAAGGGTATATGTTTTATTTCCTCTATTTATAGGTGGATGCCAATGTAAATTTATATTTTTTGTGATTTTATTCTAAGGAGTTATGTTTAAAAAAAATGCAGGTTCCACTTCATACCTTTGTAAGTTTTTATTTGGATTTTGGGCACACACGCAACACCTTCCCCTCTAATTTGATTTCGAGGTCATTTTTCGATTTCAATGTCTGGATTGCAATTGAGATTCTTGCTTAATGCTAGATTTTTTGGATATATAGTTCTCTATCATACCTTGATTAATATTTTTGGATGAAATCATTGATTATATTTGTTGAAATAGGCATGGTATTGATTCATGGGTTATTCTATTTGATAGGAATGTATTGTTGTGTTATTATTCATTTGGACCCAAATTGAATCCTTTTGTATGTACAAATTTGTTGTAATGGTAATATTTATTTGTCATTCCATTTGAGTTTAAATATTGTTGTAGCTAGATCCTATGATGTTTATTTTCTTGAATTGCATTGACCGGAGTTGTTGGTACAGTAATCTAAATTCATCCTCCTCATCCTTTCCAGCTAGCAACGGTGCGACATGATACGTTATAGCCTGGGGTTGAGCTGGAACATTCTCAATCTCCAAAGGTGTCAATTTGTTCTATGTAAAATGGTAAGCTCTTATTTGTGTTCTTGATTTTTTAATCCCAATTTGGTGTTTTTACATCTCGACTTGTTCTTGGGTTGGTGCGCTTAATTTTTTTACTTGGTGTCCTCATAGCCCTAACAGATTTTTTTCACTATTGAATTTGTTGAATTTCTTTGATTATCAGTGATCATTCACTATTAACTATTGAATAAATGATCGGGCTCTTATAGATTAGCTTTCTCACTTTTTTTGAATTAATTGTGGTATGGTGTTTTTTTTGGTACAAAACATTATTTTCATACCATTATTTTTATGGCTAATTAATCATTAGCTATTGAGCATTATTTTCATGGACTTGGCAAAGTCGTAGTTGCCCTCCATATTTCGTGATACAATTCATTCAAATGCTTTGATTTGCTATACGGATAATTATTGAACCATTTTTTTTAAAAAAAAATCCAAAGTCAATTAATTAATTATAATTTTTATTGCTAATTGATGCACTTTCAGTAAACTATTTTGCTGTTTTATAGGGAATTTGTGGGCAGATGCCGATTTGTTCGAAAATTCTTGCTATTTAGGAGGATGGCTAAAGGTATTTTTCATACTACATTGCTTATATTTTCATACTTTTTTGAAGGTGGGTAGTTGCTATTTTTTTTTTCATGCTCTAATATGCTTAATTATCAGTAGGTTAGTTGATATTTCATTTTTCAATTTTTTATTTACGGGAATTATTTTGATTACTTTGTAGTATCTTTTTAAATTAATTCGAGAGAATTATGAAGAATTTGGTGGGGTTTTAAATACTTTTTCAAGACAATCTCTCAAAAGTGACTAATTTGTTCGATTTTTAATGGAATTTTTTTTTGGCAGTGGATATGCGTGATGTTTGGGTGGAATGAAATATGAGCAGAGTATGAGAATTTGTAGTGGGTACAAACCAGTTTTGACTAGATATAATATGTTGGTGATAGTAGTGTTGCAGAACAGATGATTGTATATTGAAACAGTAGGTACTGATGTATTTAAATGTATATTTCACAATATCATTAGCGCTCTTCTATTTGGTATGCTTTGTAATTGACTTTTTTTTTTACATTGTATCTTCGGGCATTGGGCTTTAATTAAATGATATAAAGAATAATCAATATCAACTTATTTGGAATGTTTCGTTTGTTTTTCAGTTCTATATACAGGTTGATATTTTCATGGATTCCTATTTTGAAAGGAAATTCTGTCAAAATTTTGAAAAAATATCAAGTTATTATTAGGTTTAATTAAATCTATATCAATTTTTTTAATTAAATGATATAAAGAATAATTTATATCAACTTTCTTTAATTAAATGATATAAAGAATAATTTATGTCAACTTAACCGAATTTGTGTGAGTTTTTATTTATTTTGTGTTTAATATGATAAACTAATTTTATGTTTGTCTTGATGTGAAATTATTGGTTGTTTTGGTTGTAGGGTATTGATCGTTGATTTTAGGGGATTGTTTCATTTGTTTTTTATTTGTGTATATAAATTTAAATTTTTTTAAGTTCCTATTTTTAAAGTAAACTATGTCGAAATAGTTCCTAAAAAATATTTGGAAACTATATTAATTTCAATTTTTTTAATTAAATCACGTTTAAGAATTTTTTTTTTTAAAATTAATCGATTGGTTTATGTTGTATTGTGCCTTCAGACACGGGTTATCTCTAGTTATGTCAATAAATTAGATCAAATTTTTAGGTTTTAATAGTATTATTCATATTAAATACTTTATGATCGGGCCCAAACTTAGGTTGGATTAACCTACCAAATTTGCACTCATAATGAATCTAGTGGAAGTAATAATTTTCTTTTATGAGTGTGCCACTAGAGAGACACCTTGGTTAATTGACAACCCATGCAAAGTCTAAAAGCTGGAACTAAGCTGTATTAACTGTTATTCTTAATGGACCTTCAATTTTTCAAATACGCGTTGGACTTGAGAGTATCATTGGATCTGTCTTCCTCTCTCTTAATATGCTGATAATTAATGGCACAGAAACAGAATGCTCATCTCTCTCTCTCATTCATTTGCTAAGCAATGGTGTGGCACAGAACCATGTGTCTCTTTCCTAGCAGGTTCGCCACTACACCGTCTACACGTATTGATAATATAAAATGCAAAGTCAGACTCTCGAGATCTATATAAATAGCCACCCTCTGCACAACCATTTCACTCACCCAAATCCCCATCTCATCAGCTTCCTTCTTCTCTTTCCCTTTCAAGGAAAACATTGTCTGTTCTGGTTCTGGTTCAAGTTCAAAAATGGCTTTTTTAGCTCCAACCCAATCCATTCTACAACTCTTCTTTCTGATCTCACTCTTCCATGGATCTTTTGCATCAAGAAAACTCACTGAGTTGGTCCAAGAACCGCAAACCCAGCTCTTGGAATACCACAATGGCCCTCTTCTTTTCGGAAAAACTTCCATTAACCTCATCTGGTACGGAAAATTCAAGCCATCCCAAAGAGCAATCATCTCCGATTTCATTACCTCATTCTCATCTTCATCACCTCAAAGCCAACCCTCCGTCGCCACGTGGTGGAAGACCACTGAGAAATACTACCACCATGCCAATGCCAAGAGACCTTTATCTCTGTATCTGGGTAAACAAATACTCGACGAAAGCTACTCTCTCGGAAAGTCACTCACACAGAAACAATTGGTACAATTGGCTTCAAGGGGTGAACAAAGATACTCCATCAACGTTGTATTAACAGCATCTGATGTTACCGTTGATGGGTTTTGTATGAGCAGGTGTGGGACCCATGGGTCCTCCAGAAGTGCTCTTGTGAAGGGTAAGAATTACAGGTTTGCATACATCTGGGTTGGCAATTCGGAAACTCAGTGCCCTGGTTACTGTGCTTGGCCGTTTCACCAACCCATTTACGGACCACAGACTTCACCCCTGGGTGCACCCAATAATGATTTGGGTTTGGACGCAATGGTTATAAACTTGGCTAGTCTTTTGGCTGGGACCGCCACGAACCCATTTGGAAACGGCTACTATCAGGGACCAGCAGGTGCACCACTTGAGGCAGCCTCAGCTTGTCCCGGAGTCTATGCTAATGGAGCCTACCCAGGTTACGCTGGGGATCTGTTGCTGGACCCTACAACCGGTGCTAGCTATAACGCACATGGTGCGAAAGGGAGAAAGTACTTGCTTCCAGCTTTATACGATCCTTCAACTTCTTCATGTTCCACTTTGGTTTAAACAAATTGAGGTTCCGTGTGGATAAAATAGGGACATTAGTAGGATGTACACCACGAAAATATATAGAAAATTCATTAATTTGTTCATTTGTCTACCACTTCAACACATGATAGAACAGTAAATTACTCCGGTTTTGCTTCATTCCATGCTTACATCTTTTGGGTAGTATAATTACTCAATTTTAATTTCTAAGTTTTTATTATTAATTTAAATAAAACCCACTATTCTTAATGGGTTGTTACCATACACGATGAATAGTATATTATTTAGTAAAACTTAATGCAGAAGATCTAAATCCACCAAGCACGGTCGGTTCATTAAGGTGTGCTTATGCAAGTCATCATAGGGAAAGTAGAATCCATCCATTAGGAGATGTGAAATTGGAAAAGATTTGCTTTTGATGTTCAAATTGATTATGCAAATCAAGTGTAAAAGACTTTTGGCATTGAAACTAGAGATACTAATGTATTGATTATTTTTAAATACTTTTATTTAATTAGTTGGCACGGGCTTTATACATAAACTATTTAAAAATATATAGTTGTAATAATTTTAAAAGGAAGATTAGGGCCATCATAAAGTAATTAAATATTTTTAAATAAAAAAATTCAAAGCTAGCCAAACAAACACAAATCTAAATATAATTAGGCTAACTCTCATCTCGAATGATCTCATGACAAATAAAAATTAAAAAAATAACTAAGAGCATCTCCAATAGAGATGCCAAATTTAAATTTGAAGGCTTGTGAGGTAATTTGACACATAGCATTTGACATCTTCTACTTGCACTTCAATGGATAAGTCAAAATAATTTATTTTATTCAATCTATATATTTAAATCTCTTTCCTTTACCTTTAAAACAAATTTTGGGATCAGTTATAATAAATATTATTTAAAATATTATAAATTTTATTTGAAACATACTATATATTTTATTGAAACTAAAATTCTCATTAAACTTAACTAACACAAATTTAAACAACAAAAAATACAATTCCAAAACATAAATTGTAACCAAATTATATGTTACTACATAAAATAAATTGCATTGAACACCCAACAACTCTGTAAAATATTGCATTAAAAAGATTTGACATATCTATTGAGATATATCAAATTTGTTTTTACCCAGTCAATAATTGACACGCCGATTGAAGAAGCCTTACATGCCAAAAAGAATCGTTAGGCTCTCCACTTGGTATTTGGCATACCGATTAGAGATGCTCTAAGACCCAAATCAACTTTATTATCTGTCTATTCTCTTCTTCACTCACTAAAAATAAAACGTAATCGAATGACCATCGCACAACCACTCTCTAGCTAACCCCCCACCACCATCTCTCTTCTTACTCGCTATTTTTTTTTTTTTGCTCAAAAAATTTAACCTCCAACACTCCCAAATAACACTGTCACCATGGCCGCCACCATCCCTAGAACCACTCCCTACTGGAAACTCCTCCCTTCCACCACCACCCTTTTTTTTTTTTTTGGGGTCATCGTTCAAGCTTAGTCGAGTCACAAATACCTTGTTGAAGTGTCAACTAAAAAAAGGGTAAATCGAAAGACAATGGAAAAACCTAACTGCAATTATCCTTCTAATAGCTTGGAAAAAATAACGACAAACCCATTTACTTTCCATATTGTGACATTAGGGTTTTCATTGTTTTGTGATTGGAGGGGATAGGTTTGGATCAAATTACATAAGAGGATAGGATATAAATGGCTATATAAAATTTAATAAGGCTGAAATAAGAAAACAAAAAAATTTCATTCTTAGTCAATTTAATAAGTAGTATTAAAAAAATAATTTTTTCAAAAAAATTCTTAATTATTATCAATTATATGAAGTACAAATTTAATCACAAAAAAATAAGGTTTAGCCTCCTTTCTGATGATTAAATAATTAAAACATCTTCCTATTATCCTTGAATGGTGTGGATCTGTTCACATCAGTAAAATCGATTAATTTTGAATTCTTTAAAATTGAACTTTGTCGTTTTTATTTATGATTTGCCAATGTTGGCATATTCAGATCACTCATTTCAAAATGGAATTTGTCACGTAGGGGCATATGAGTAATTCAAATTTCTGTAAGTATCCCGTTAATAAAAAAAATTATGAGAATTCATATCTATAGCTTATTATTATTTTTTTGAAATTATTCGCCCATAACATTATCCAATTATCCAATTATAGTCTGGCGCATTGCTTTAATGGCTCGGTATGAAAGACCAACAGCCCTACAAAGAGGCAAATGGTGCCTAAATTTTTTGGCTTTAATGGCGACGAAGAGGCCGAGACTATTGGAGTACCACTAGTGCAATGAGTATAATAATATATCTAATTTCATTTATTGGTGCAACCATGTCTCCAATTATAGAAACAATGGGGAAAAAAAAAAGGTTACATTCAATGCTACCCAATATTGACTTATCTAGGTTTGGCTTATATTCACTGATGATGTTTGGAAATACTCCAAACAATGCAATCATACTCAATTATAGTATATGAAACACCCATCAGACACTCACTGGCGGCCTGTTTGCCTCATGGGTTTGGGGTGGAATTCATAAAATGAATTTTTTCAAAATAGTCTAATAAACCACCTTAATGAGAGGCTTGGGTTTAATCAATTCCACAGCAAATATTTGGATAAATCTCATTTTGTCCCTGAAAGATATATATATATATATAAAAAAAGTAATTTGTTCTTCGAATAGTTAATTTTTTCACATTGCCCCCTCAGAAATAAAAACATTGAAATATGGTCTACCATCTTATTTTCATTTGATCGTCCGTCTGTTTTATGCTTCCAGATTCAAATTATTAAATCAATCTAATTAAAATAAGAATAGAGTTAATTACATAAAATTTCTCACGGATCTAGTTAGATCGAGGAGTTTTATACATTACCTAAGTCCTTCTCGTGTATAATGGTCCATTAATTTAGCTGACTGTATACTTGTTGCTGCTAAACCAAAAAATTAAAAGTTATAGATCTCAATGTTTCTGTTAAGTGGACAAAAAAACTAAACAAATAGCAGGATGTGTTCGTGCAGAGTTTAGGTCAGTGACAGTGTGTTAATCAACAGTCATCAGCACAGATTATCAGACCCCAGCGTAGTCTACGGTACCCAAAAAAATAATTTGGTACCATATCACCATTACAAATTTAATGAGTATAACTTTTAAGGATTATTTTAAAAATTATGTGGTCACTTGGGATCCTCATTAGGATCGACCACAATAATTTTAGAATCGATCATAAATTACCACAAAAATTATAACTTAGTCCAAAAAATTTATAATTTAAACCTTAAAAGTTGTAACTTAAACTAATAAGCTTTATATATAATTTTTTTGTTGTAAACAAATTACAAAACTTGTATCAAAAATCATAAAAGGTACAAGATTTGAAGGTAACCGTACCGAATTTTTTTTTTCGACACCATAATCTCATCGCCCCGACATCTTTGAATTTCAGAATTGTGCCAATTATCAGATTTAAAATTAGGGGTGTTAACTCTAAGTTATTAATACGAACCCAACACAAAAGATTATAAAATTGACACGATTATTAAATATGTATAATATATAATATAAACTGATTTTAATATTCAAAACACACTAAATAATTTATTTTTTTTTTGGGTCTTAACACGAATAACAATGACACGACATGCAAGTCACAAGAATACGTCACGATTGACACTCATATTTAAAACATTATAGGCAAATGACATTGTAATTTTCCCTTTCTATATGTTGAATAATCCACATTGCACCTAGAGTTTTAATTCTTAACACGTCCTGCGAATTTAACGCACAATATGGACGTTAAAATTAGCGGGTACAAGTGTTTTTTTGAGTAATTTTAATGGTAAAAGAGTTGACCCGCAGGCTACAAGATGCGCTAAGTAAATGAATCGGCACAAAGTCAGCTATAAACAAGAAGTTTTTAATCACAACTCCGATTGGACACAATACAACCCATTACCAACTTTAATTGTAGTTAGTCAAGTATTTATTATGGAGGTATGTATTAGGTTTAAATTTTTTTGTATCTGGACGATGGTGCAATGGAGAGATAAATAAATAAATAAAAATAGAATATTCTATTAAGGGAATTCCCAACAATAATTTTTTGCAAAATTGATGTCGCATTGATATTTTTAAATACCATTACATTAATTGTGATTTGTTTTGGGATGAAAGTAGATATCACTGGACAATGACATTTTGTATAGAAATTTTTGTGCAAAATTTTCGTTTATATAACTTAACTGAAGAATAGCATGAAAATCATCTCCAATCACAAATAGAAGCACATTAATAAGTTTCTAATAGTATATGTAGCCACAAAATGGGAGTCCATAATAATAATAATGACTATAATAAAATGAAAAATGTCCTTTTTCTATTTTGCAAGAATTTCACGTAATTGATAAGTTCAAATCGACTTATCGAAAGGGGTGATATTTAGACTTATGCTTATTAATAGATCTGTCAAGGGATTAGATTTAGGTCAAATTCTAATTGATTCGAATCCGAACTCAAGAGTTTGATCAGAGAATTTGACGGATTTTATTTTCGTAGTTCACATCCAAATCTAATATGTTAACAAGCTAAAATCTGATTCAATATTCGATTTGATTCGAATAACTTAATTAATTAAAAATTTTTAAATAGTTACTTAATTTTTTAAAAATATTTATATAAAAATATAAAAATAATTTAAATCAAATCATAATCAGATCGAAAATAAATATATTTTCGTGAAATATAAAATACCAAATTCGAATTTAAATTCAAATTATCGATAAAAAAATATTAATCAATGTCTGGCTAATCGAATTCAATGAATTTGATCCAATTACTCAAGTCGGATAAAATATGTCCAAAATTTTATATTATTACTTTTATAAAATAAAAAAACACGAAGACACAAGCATGGTAGCTTGAGCCACAGTTGTCACATGGTAGCTTTAGCCAGCTGGGCGGTCCCAAGTCACGAGTTTTCCATGCGTGTCAACAAATAACAATAGCTGCCTGGCGCGTCGGGTCACGGCCACACCTAGGATACTGGAGTACTTTTCTTTTATGTTCAGACCGCCTAGGGTACTTCCCACAGTTGAATGCCCA